CGGGTCACATTACGCGTCACATTGGGGTCACATTGGGGTCACATTACGGGTCACATTACGGGTCACATTACGGGTCACATTACGCGTCACATTGGGGTCACATTACGGGTCACATTACGGGTCACATTACGGGTCACATTACGCGTCACATTGGGGTCACATTGGGGTCACATTACGGGTCACATTACGGGTCACATTACGGGTCACATTACGCGTCACATTGGGGTCACATTACGGGTCACATTGGGGCCACTGAGCTGTTGTCTGAATGTAACATTTAGAGAAACATGTTAGATTGGTATCGTCCATACACAATGACCTAATATGGAGGCAGCGGGGAAGATGGTCCACCAGTACAGGACTCCACCCTCCACACTGAGGAGGATAGCCACGTCTCTCCGAGCCGCACGATTCTGCAGGAAGAGGAGGCGGTCCACGGGCGTGGGACAACTGTCAGGGGAAGAAGACCAAGAAGATGGACATTGAGTCTTGGCCCCAAACACCTTCACGAGTCCCCCCCCCTCCCCTTACTCTTACTCAGTGACTCCACCTTCTAAGGACCTTAGTGTGAAGCAGAACTACCGTGATGAGAGCAGACATGCTACATACTACAGGTTCACCACTGAGAGCTTCAATATGAGGAAAGCCTACTTCTCCCACGCAGGTCTGATTGGTGGTCAGAGATCTCCATGAGCACCATTCAGTGCAGTGTGATGTATACGGGTGTCCTCCTCTATAGACCTGACATATAATGTACACGCCTGGACCCGTGTTATGAGTGCAGTGTGATGTATACGGGTGTCCTCCTCTATAGACCTGACATATAATGTACACGCCTGGACCCGTGTTATGAGTGCAGTGTGATGTAGGGGTCCTCCTCTATAGACCTGACATGTAATGTACACGCCTGGACCCGTGTTATGGGTACCTGTTGGCGGGACGTCTCCTCAGATACCGGTATAGTTTCTGGGTCTCCACATTCCACACAATCATCTCGCCATCAAAGCTTGCCGTGACCAGGAGTCCCAGAGATGGACAATAGTCTGCTGCCATGATGTCATTCGTGTGCACATGACCCCCTTTCCATGACTCATTCGCTGGCACATACATGTTCTATAAGAAGGTGAGAGGAGACGCTAAGTGTACATAGACATTATAGGGAGTGTACATTATGATTTGTTATTGTTTTCTGCAGCCTTGACACACCTCTATCCCTGTGTGCATAAGAAGTCATTCACAGCCGGCTGGTGTGTGAGAGAGACCTGGGGCATGACCAGTGCCCAACCCGAGAGATTGCACCTTTCTGATCGAGCTGCCTGCCTACTAACATGCAGGAATGATACAACTACCAGGTAAGAACAGAAGATGGAGTCTGCTAACCTTGCTTTGTGTAATATCGTAAGTGATAATCTTCCTGTTCCAGCCAACACTAAGGAAGGTCTGCTCTCGCAGCGCCAACACACACGTGACCTCCGACCCCTCCACTGTCTGCAGTCTGTGCAGGTTGTGTCCGTTCTGCATATTCCAGATCTGCAATATAAGAACACATGGGAATCGTGCCGAGACCCC